CTGGACATGGTGGTGCATTCCCATAATCCGAGCATTTGGGAGGCAGAGGTAGAAAAACTGTCATAAGTTCGAGACTGTCTTGATCTACGTACTGAGTTCTAGGCTAGCCAAGACTACCTTATTAGATCCTTGTCAAAATAAAGGCTGGAGAGATGGCTGGGGGGGGGGCAGCTAAGAGCACTGGCTGCTCTTCCAGAGGACCTGGGTTTGATACCTAGCACCCATAAATTACCACAGCTGCCTATAACTCCAATTTCAGGGGACCTAGTGCTCTTTGGCCTCTGTGGGCACACTACAAGTGTGCTTTGTCCTCACTTATATGCAGGCAAAACACTGATACACATAAGATTATTTTTAAAAATCTTTAAAAATTTTTAGTTATATAGAGCCAGTGTTGGTGTTGAATGCCTTTAATCTTAGCATTCAGGAGACAGAGGAAGATGGATCACTGAGTTCAAGGCCAGCCTGGTCTACAGAACAAGTTCCAGGACAGCCACGGCTACCCAGAGAAACCCTGTCTTGAAAAACCGAAAAACAAAAACAAAAAAGAATAAACAAGGCCTTGAGCCTGGTTCTCATTGGCTTCCACTGGGTGTGATGAACATCCTTGAACAGATTGGGGGATTTGGGCAGAATCTCAGATCAGTTTAGACACTTAGGTCCGACAGCGTTCAGTCTATACCAGCAAGGAAGAGAAAGGCCAGTTTCCTGAAGGAAATCAGGACAAGATGTCACCCTTGGCACCTCAGGTGTCCTTGTCCAGCCTCTCAGCACTCACCAGCCCTTGTTCAAACCCCTCTCCCGGATCCTCATCTGTCAAATGGTTTTTTTATATTGCAACCTTCCAGCGGTGGTGGGCGGAACCCGCCAGCAATGGGCAGAACCTTCCAGGGGTGGTGGGCGGAACCCTCCAGCAGTAATGGGCAGAACCTTCCAGGGGTGGTGGGCGGGTATGTGGCGCTTGCAGCAGAGTCAGAGCTTGGTGGAAGTTTGTAAACACCTTAACCATGACCCTGTCTGCCCCCTCCTCTTCCTTTGATGTGGGATACATGACACATGGGTCATGCATCTCTTCCTGTGGCTTCTTCCCTCCACCTCCGTGACTCATCAGTCTCATCCTTCTCTCCTGCCTCTTCCTTCTTCCTCACTGTCCTCCTGGCCTCATTTTCTCCCCAGGAATCTGTCTGCTCTGCCTGTGACTCTCAAAACCCACCAAGGTGGAGCTGGTTGCACCTCTCCAGGGTGTTCTCTTTACTGAGCACCAGATCATTGTCCAGCTGCCTGTTGGAAGGGCCCCAAGGTGTCAAGGTCTCCTCAGATGCCACAGGGCCAATGCGGAACTTCTCCTCCTTCTGAGATTCTTTTCCTGGACTCTCCATCCTGCTCTTGACCCGGTATCCATCCAGTGGCATCAGCTGGAAATCGGGCGGTGTCCTGGGGTACCCCTTCCCAACAGCAGCTACTCTAGGAATGGCTTAGTGCCTGGGATAGATAAGACTTGAAAACACAAGAGTATGAGTCTAGCTTAGACTTCCTGTGACCTTGTCGGGAAAAAAAAACAAAAAACAAAAAACAAAAAAACAAAGCAAGCAAACAGAAACCCGTAGTCAAAGAAGAGAGAAACACCCAGGCATGGTGGTACACTCCTTTAATTCCAGGGCTCAGTAGGCAGAGGGAGAAGCTCTGTGAGTTCAAGGCCAGTCTGTTCTACACATGGAGTTCCAAAATAACCAGGGCTACATAGTAAGACCACGACGACAAAACACACACACACACACACACACACACACACACACACACACACACACACACACATCGCTGTGTGCTTGGCTCAAAAAATTTTATTTATTTACTTTTACTTTTTTTTTTTTGAGACAGGGTTTCTCTGTGTAACCCTAGCTACACAGTCCTGGAACTCTCTCTGTAGACCACCCGGCTCTCCTAGAATTCAGAGATCCATCTGCTTCTGCCTGTCGAGTGCTGGTATTAAGGATGTTTGCCACCACCACCCAGCGGCTCAAAAATATTTAAATAAAATTTACAAAAATTATGGAGTGTTCCTTCATTTAACTAGGGTCAGGAGTGGGAGTGGGCACAAAGCTCACTGGTGGACCTGGGGAGATGATGTGGTGGGTAGAGTCCTTGCTGTGCAAGCAGGAGGACCAGAGTTCAGATCCCCAGCACCCATGTAAATGCCAGGGGGGCCTGGACAGGGATGCCCCAGAGCAAGCCAGCCGGACTAGGTGGGGAATCTCACCAGTGAAAGCGCCTGCCTCAAGATACACAGTTGGAACTACCTTAAATCAACCTCTAACCTCCACATGCATGAACACCACACACACACACACACACACACACACACACACACACACACACACACAAGCTTTCTAGTGTCCATGTGACACCCCATAACCTTGGCACCCCTGGAACTTTCCATTCTTTTGCTTTAATCTTTTAATCTTTTAATCTTTTTTTTTTTTTTTTAAGATTCATTTATTTATTTTGTATGCAGCATGTATGACTACAGGTCAGAAGAGGGCACCAGATCTCATTACAGATGGTTGTGAGCCACCATGTGGTTGCTGGGAATTGAACCTCTGAGCCATCTCTCCAGCCCCTGCTATAATCTTTTATATTGCATTTCCCCCTGGGTACCACCCAGAGCGTTTCAAGTCATCTAATGAGAACTTTCCATGGTAAATTCCTGCATGCTCTCCTCATGGCCCAGAACTTTCTGTCTCCATTTTACATGTACTTCTGCCTCCCTGAGGCTCCCTCCACATAGTGGCAGGTTCTTCAGGCCTTTGCAAGGTTACTTGCTATACCCTCGGGACCATGGGGTAGGCTGGTGCTCTGGGCTTTCATGATGCCTCTAGTATCACCTCCACTGGCCGAGTAATTGCCTATTTTTGTGTTTGTGTCCTACACTTGAGGACAACCAGATCCTGGTACATTCAATGGCTGTTTGTGGAGTGAATTGTCAAGCAAATGGGGAGGGACTGGGATTTCAACACAGATCTGTCTCCAATGTAGTCCAGGGACAAATTCCCTAATACTGTTTCCAGAATGTTCCAACCCACCAGCCATGAGGCTGAGGTTCTGCTGTGCATAGCTTACGTGTCCACTGAGGGAAATGGGTCCTTCTTCTGTAGGCCACGTCTTTCCCACAGCATCAGTAGTCCCCAGTTCTCACTTGCCTAGACTTGGCACTTACGTTGAACATCACCCAGCAGTAACTTCTGGCTTGCCTAGTAACCTGCCTTTCTGAAGACCATGCATGCCTTGTGCATGCTCCCAGGACCCCAGCTTTCTGGAAGGTCACAAGAGACATAGCCCAACCCTCCTCCACACAACTGTTCATCAACCAGTCAAACATTCAGTAAATATCATCACCATCATCCTGGGTTAACCTTCCCCACACCCTCTTCTCTTTCTCTCTCAGTACTGAAGATCCAACCCAGGGCCTCATACATGGTAAGCAAGTGATCTACCACTGAACTGCATCCTTGACTTTTTTCACTTTTTTTTTTTTTTTTTTTTTTT